TCATTTTTTTAAATAACAAAACCTTTTTCCTACTAAGTTATCATCTATTTACTCTGCCTGTGCTAGCGTTGTAGGCCTGCGTGTCAATCTGCAAGGTTATTTTAAACAAAGGTGAAAATATGTTTAGAAACAGTGCTTTGGACAAACACTGTCAGATGGATGATTTGGGGACAAAACATCCTGTTGAAAATATGCATAATATTCTTGTTAAAGTTTGTTTGGAAAATCTTTATAACCAATACTTTGACAGTGGTTTTGATACACTAAAGTTATCTTCACAACTGTAGAATACATTTATTTTCCAATAAAAATATTCCTTTCTAACCAATGATCTCTGACTTGGTTCATTACCTGAAGAAAAAAAAAAATCAGTCTAATAAATACAATCTTAACTTGCTTCGAAAGAGAAAACTTGCTAAGTAACAGCCTCCCTGTTAATGCTGGAGCTTCCCTCTTCAGCTCTCACAGACACATATTGCTCTGGTACTCCTTTGAGTGTACTTCTGATGCATCAGAGCAGCCCATCAAATTGGGAGAAAGTAGTAACTTTTGCAGGATGATCGTGATGAAAACCAAACATTAGAAAAAAATAATCAGGCCTCTTTTTCTGTACATGCTTGACAGTGATACAGCCATGCATACAGTAAGGGTGATCCAGCAAGAACAAAGCCCAGCACAACTGTCCTGTTCTTCCAGTTCTTCCTCTTTCAGACTCAAATCATGTGAGGGGCAGTATATGTATCTCCATGCCTGTTGTATGCCATGAATGTATATTCACCAGATACTGAGAGAAAATGGGGTTGTGATACGTGGGGTTATTATAAAACTGTGTATGCTGAAAGAATGGAGTAAAGTTTTGCAGTTAATGTGTGAAATGTTTTTAGGTGCTGGCTCTCAAACTTTTTTGTTTCAGTTAGTGCCTGTTTTTTTTTGTTTCACTGTCTCTGAAAATAGCCTCCGGTTGAAGATCAAGGGTGAGCGAAGTATAAAAGTTAATGATTTCCACACAGGAGGCTATTTCTGAGTGATAGGCTTACACAAATGTTTATGTCCTCTAACAGTTGTCTATCCAGCTGCTGAAATTCCAAATGATAATAAACTGTGTATCCTTTTGGTATGATATGCCAGTGGCCTACTTTTTAGTGGCAAGAACAGTTGCTGGTGGCCTGTTTGTTTTTCTTGACTCTGTTCTAATTTTTATTTCAGCTTTTTAAATTTTGAATCTCACAAAGAAATTTGAACAAATTTTTAGAGGTGTTTTTTTTTTTTTTTCAGTTTGCTTTCTAAAGAGCCTGTTGTGTCACAGCAGATAGGAAATACTTTTGTTAGAAGTCGTTGTCTTGACAAGTGAGGCTTGGTAGCTGTTCAGAAGACTCGCTACTCTGTGCATAATTAAAGCACATTAAGTTCCAGTTGGTGATTTGGGTGTCAAGCCTTATAATTTGTGGTCTTCTCTGAATGATATTTAGGCAGCTCGTGGACACTTTGAGGGCATATAGTGTCCCTACATAGGCAGCTGCAATAACTTATTGCAGTGATTGTTTAAAAAACTTGCACCTGTTTCTAGTTTCAGGTTCTAACTATTAGATCTATTTATGGTTCTTCTTGGCAAAAGCAGTCTAATCACAGGTTATTTTAACAACATTGCTTTGTTTAAAGTACCTACTCCTGTAGTATTTGAACCTCTCTTGAGACTCTTGAATAAGCTTTATGGATGACTAGAAGAAAGTAGCTTTCTCTTAGATAAGGTTTGGAAGAGTTACTCAAAATACTTTAAATTTTAAGAGTTTACTTTTGCTGCTTGGAAGCGAGGGTGGGATACGGAAACAGTTTGACAGGTTTTGGTATATGTGTTTATGCTGGGATTCTCTCCAATCTTATATTTTTAGATTGATCCTTCTGAGGTCTCTAATTATGAGTACTTTAATATAGTGCTCTCTGCATGTGCTAAATTGTTGCTTACTCTTTCCTCTGCTGGCCAGGGAGCTTATTGGTGATTTGAGGGGGTGTCAGCTGCTCACACATAATCAGTCTTCTAATTCTCTTAACTTTATTCTGTATTTTCACTTAATTCAGCTCAGAAGAAAAATGTGGTATTGTTATTTAGGGGTGTAATTTTTCTTCTATCAGGGTCTTATACTTCAATACATTTAAAAATATGTCTTCAGCTGGCATGTAGAATATGACCTATCATGTAGCTCATGCTGTCCATCAGTGGTAATTGCACAGAGAATTTGTGTCTGCAGAAGAAGCTCTTGTGCTATCTCCTATAAACTCCCTCAAATACCTGTTGACCTTTCTCTTCATCTTACTGTTTGTTTATCTCAAAATGTCACTTCCTGGAAGAAAGGCTTTGAGCTGATCATACAGTTAGCATTGGGATTTTTCATCTATTGAGTCTGTTTATTTTCTTCTGAGTGACTGAAGGAAAGCAGACTGTGCCATTCAAACTTTCTTAATGACTCTAATTGGATTATAGTGCTCTAGAAATGAACCGCTTTTGTATGTTTATACAGTGGTTACTGCAGTGTAGACAGATGTGAGTTCAAAACTTGTTTTCCAATTTATGGCTGTTTCATGCTGTTTGAATCTAGAAATAGATTAAGTTGGTAGAGTGATGGAACTTATATTATGGTTGTTGCATGCAGCACCTGGAACTGAAAACTTAAAAAAAGGTAAAAGGAAAATCTTCCTGGCACTTGATATTGATAGTGCAAAGTTGTGAAGGTGCACAAAGCACATCAGCAGTGACTCATTTCAGTGAATCAGACTCACTGTAACTACTCAAACTTCATAAATCTTTTTCACACAGGGAATTGTATTTAGGCACTTCCAAGTTAACCATGTGTTTTACCAAACATATTTCTATTTTTTAGTAAAGCAATTAGGTTAATATAAATATACCTTGACCAGCTTTTTATTAAGGTCTGAGATACACTGTTACTTTTTCCCTCATAAAAATGAAGTTATTTCAAGGATTGTTGATCCTTTGCAAAAATAATTTCAATATCTATCAGCAAAATGTTAGTGAATTTAGTCAGAAAGTAAATTCCCTACAGATACTGAATTTTGAATATGAGAAATGTACCTGCAGAACACATTATTCCCACACTGAAGTATTTTGACTCTTAACCGTTCAGTAGCATTTCAGATTTCTCATTCTCTGTCAAGCACCTCTTTGGCTCCTTTACATCCTGCTGTTTCTTGGGGAGAACATGACTGTGGGAATGATGTCTTGTTCTGGTAACCTCATTCTCATTCTCTCTAGTTGCATCTTATGTAGAGCCCTCTGCTAGCCTTGGAAAAGCTTTCCAAAGCTTCAAATCTTCCAAGTGGTAGAAGTTTTTGTCTGCTTTTGTTATTGATATTTGAGCATGATACTGCTGCCACGACAGAGTGTGAGTATCTTTTTCAGGAACACAAGAATGTTATTTTCTGATATAACTGGGTCATTGTAGAAGTAAAAGTTACCCTAAATGGTATTACTTGTTTTCTCTTTTTAGAGTAGTGGTTTGCTGCCTTGGAAGTTTTTTCTTTGCTTCTCAGTTAAGGGATAGAGGCACTGATACTGTTAGACAGTATTAATGATCTTGGATTTGACAGTCAAATTGAGGAGCTCAGTCCTTTGTTTTTTTATTATTATTTGGAAGAAATATGGATGTGGTGTGAATCATATTGAGAAAAGTGGCTGAAGAACTTCAGTTTGAAAGTGTTTCCATCAGTGCATCTATTAAAATGTTGCTTTGTATTCCTAGTACTGATATATTGCAGGTAATAATGCTGCTATAATTTATTTTAAATGCAAACCTAATAGCACTTTAGAAAAATGTAAGGGCTGATAAAATGCTCTTTGTGTAATGCAGTTTTTTTACCTAATGCTTGTTTTAAATGCCTACACCTTTTTTTTTGGCTTACATTAGTCATTGAGCAACTCTGTTTTTTAAAGAAGCTTGATAAGGTGGTGCTATATTGAGAGTCTGATGTGTGACTTTCTGATGCCTTGAAATATTTTAGACTGGAATGGGCCATTTTTATCTATTGTTAGAATAACCTCTTTAAGCCAAGCTTTAGAGTAGTCTTCGTTCTATGTGCAAATCTCAAAACCTTAACTAATCATTAAAGATCACACTGTAAGATACTGCTTAAAATCAAGATAATGTTGGTCTTGTTGAGAGTTAATTTCAAAATCAAAATCTTTTTTTACTAAAAGCTCTTATGCTCCTAAATGGCTTTATAATTAATTCTCCTTTTAGGACTGATGCTTTAAGGACTGTATTGATTGGAACAATGAGTTGTGGATTGAAGGGAAAACATGTTGTGGTGGGAGTTGTTAATAAATGAAGTGGCGGTTGTTTTTTTTTTTTTTTTTTTTTTTTTTTTTTTTTTTTTTTTTTTTTTTTTTTTTTTTTTTTTTTTTTTTTTTTTTTTTTTTTTTTTTTTTTCAAGCTGCTATTGGAAGGGTAGTGCAAATCCCTGAGGTTTTCAGCTTCTTCCTCCATGGCTGGTGGTGCAGGAAAGGTGCCTGAGTAACTTGTAANTTTTTTTTTTTTTTTTTTTTTTTTTTTTGTTTTGTATTTTTTTGTAGTGGTTACTTCAGATCTTGTCAAGTTGTGTACGATTTATTCATTGTGGAGAAAGTGAACAAAAGCCCTTCTGATTTCTTTAAAAAATATTATTGAATTATTGCTGGATGTGCCTCTGCACAGATCCTGTAGTTGAAGTACAACTCTAAATTCTTGAGTGGACAAGCAAAGGTGTTAAGACAATCTAAAAAATTCCTATGATAAATTTTTCTACAGTGTTGTGGATGTGTGTCGTGTTCTTTTGGGGTTCCTGGCAAAAATAGTGTAAGACTGTGCACTAACACAAATCAGTAAACTTGTCTGAATCGTTAGACTTGCTTAAAGAAAACCAGCTTTAGAGGTGGCTTCGGTTGAAGCTGCAGTTTGTAAGCAATGTGTTTTTAGTAGTGAGATGCTGACTAGCGTTTGTGTCTCTAGAGAAGAAGAGGAACGTCTGAGAAATAAGATCCGAGCAGATCATGAAAAGGCTCTGGAAGAAGCTAAGGAGAAATTGAAGAAATCACGGGATGAGATTCAAGCTGAGATTCAGACAGAAAAGAACAAAGTAGTTCAAGAATTGAAAAAGAAAGACAGCAAGCCACTGCCCCCTGTTCCTTTACCAAACCTGATAGGGATAAACAGTGGAGAACCAGCAGACCTGGATATCCGAGAGAAGAGGAACAAAATTAAAGAGGTAAAGATGATGATGATGATGATGATGTGGTCCTACCTGTTCTTGTGTCTGACAGCAGTTATTTATATGGCATTTAGTTGCTGTGATTTATTTTAAGAAGGAAAAACAAATCTACAAGTCATGTAGTAAACTGGAAGTGCACAAGTAGTAATGAGCATCAGCATTATTGCATGTTTTTTTCCTGGTGTTGGAGTATTAATATTTCACTGGATAACAATTAAAAAATTATTTCAAGGAATTTATTCAGCTCAGTGGTATGGATTCAAACTGAGTTTGTCATTAACACATGGAAGAGTAACAAGAGCATCTTTAAAGTAGAGCATGACTTTATGAGTTTCCTTTCAAAGAATGGGATCTCTTACTGTGTCACAGGATACTTTTAGATGTCAAATCATTAGATCGAAAAGATAAGGAAAAAGAAGACCTGCTGGTAATATTTGAAAATTACCAAATTATCACTTTTCAAAATAAATTTTAAATGGGTTTAAAAAATTTAAATTGATTGAATGTTTTACAGGTAAATGAGACAAACTAAGATCTTTGTTTAGGCTTTTGGTTCTGCGGCAACTTACACTATGGGAATTGCTGTTTGTGGTCTTATCGTCTCCACTACTGGTTTGCTGTGAGATTTATTGCCCCTTTTTGTCCTGGCATTGCCAACTTCCTATTACTATTGGCAGACATTTCTCTGAGTCTGACCTTCTAACTAGTATGGCAGAAATATTGTACAGCCTCATTATTCTTTTTCTTTCCTGCACTGTGATGAGTTTTGTGCCAGAAAATCCGTTTAGCACAGCAGGAATGGTTCAGGCCAGATGCAGATAAGCACTGACTGTTACTAAAGAATGTCCAGGACAATAGCACTTAGTATTTACATTAGATAAATCTACTTTTACATTGTAATCTGAGTTTACTTAGCTTATAAAACCAGAAAGAAATCTGTCATACACCTGTTCCTGTCATAGGGAAGAGTTGTACCTGAATTATGTGCCATTCTGTGGGTAGATCACCCAAGCTGGAATTTTCCTTTGGATACTAATGATGGCTAGATGGAATCAACTCTTATATAGTATTGAGCAGCTGGTTATTATACATGAGTGATACAGTGTGGAGCTGTATCACTATCTGTAGTAGTTACTCCATATAGAGTCCTGTCACAATCTGGATATCTGAAGTGGCAAATCCTTCCCTGCAAGGAATTACAGTTAGTGATTACTGCAGAAGTACTTTTGCCTAGGAAGTTGTGTCTAGAATATTGGACCTCCTTGACCCTGCTTAGTTAGGGCTGCTTCCCAAAGAACATAATTGAATTGTGGATTTGAAAAGGCTCTACTAATTTGTCTGCAAACATTTTGAGTGAGAATATATAGAGCAGTTTGCTTTTCTATATGTTTTTGTAGGGTAAACAGTGAATGGGATGGTTGTCAACACTTAATTTTTACTACAGATTTACTGTAGCAAAATACCTTTGAGATTAATTTAATGCCTAGAATAAAAATGGGTTGACCAAGTAATGCAAAATTACTGAGCACAGCTAACAGTGAAGAAGTATCCGGAATAAATAATCAACCAAAGTTCTTATAGACCAAGTCTGGAACTGGAGTGGTGGTTGAAAATTAATATTTGCATTTCTGAGGTTGTTTGGTCCGTGTAGACTGAGAGATGGTAAGCTCTAGGCTAGTGTACAATGGCAATTTTCCTGGTCTCATGAAAAAGTAGTAAAATTTGGACCATTCTTGCTGATCTAAACCTGGAGGTATAGCAAATTCTAAGGAACTCAGGGTATTTTGTGAGTAATAATCACCAGGTGGTGATGCTTAGCTGCAGTTGCCACACACCTCGTGCTGTAAAAAGGCTTACACCTTTTTTTGATGATCAGCCTACATGTGAGTCACAGTGACAAGCTGTTTTTCTATTGCATAACTTGTTGATGACTACTATTATGGTTTCTGAGGTATAGCTTTTCATTACCAGACCGTAGGTTTCTGTGGGACTATTTTTTAAGTGGTTAGGTCCTTCAGTTAGGATAATAATGCCTTTGTCTTGAGCAGTTTTCATTTGTGCGCACACTGTGCTTGTAACAGCCCAGGAGCACGGGAGCATGACTGAAAATTCTTTGTTATATGAATTGCCTTCATTGACTCAGCCATGCTAGTACTGTAGCTACCAGGTAATCTCCAGAATTCTTAATTTTTGAATCATGCAGGGCAGGAGATTGTCACTTCTACAGCTAGATGTGTGAAGGCATAGAACATTGCAGTGAGAGGTCTACTAGGGAGAATGGATAAAGGGTAATGCTGAGGAGCCATTGATGGAACAATGTGGCTGAGATTAAAACTTAGATTAATAGTGTCAAATGAATAATATTTTACCTGAAGCCTGTTTTTGACAGCATCACATGTCTCAGAGAAGACAGCAGAGCTTTCAGAGATGTGAAGTACATTTTGAAATACGTTCATCACTGAGGTCCTCCCTCACTGTTTTATGTAACCAGTGTGTAGACTAAGACAAATAACTTTTGTAGATAGAGACTTAGCAGAAAATAAGAACAAGTTCCAGGAGACAATATTTCTAATGTATGTCCACGACTGGTAGCTATTAAAAAAAAAAAAGTAATTTTTGATGTTAGACATTATGATTGCCTGGATTGAGGCCTGAAAAACAGCTCAGGGAAGCTGCTGGCTTTTTAGAGGCTGCACATCTGTCTTCAAAATTCCTGGTGATCTCAAAACAGCATTTGACCTGCTTTGGTTTACTATGAATTGTCCTGATACATGTGTGAGGAACTTGACTCTCAAAGAACAGCTTTAGACTGTTCAAATTCACAAAATTAATGATGTTATACAGCCTATTTCACTCCTATCAAATGGTGAAAAACTGTAGAGAATTGGATGGAATGATGGGGGCTGTTTGTAATACACGAGTCTTTACATTAGGGAGAAAGGCTGGAAAATTTTCAAATAAGGATTCAGTTTCTATTATTTTTGCAGAAAATATATTACCAGTTTTTCTTTCCAAATAGCAGCTTGATGAAGGCTGTTTTTTAAACATCTCTTTATGAGTGGTTTGGCAGTCGTTTAATATTTTAAAAAGGCGTTTTTTTGATTTTAGAAAAAAGTGCATATAAAAGTAAAAAAAATTTTCTGTAATGCTCTTAAGAGAGCTTTGCAAAACATTTGAAAGGTTTATATAATAGGAATGTTTGCTGAACACAGAGAGAGAAGCTTCTTAAGGTCAAGGAATACAACTGGGAGCAGAATTTGCATCTTACTAGGGTTTTTTTTTTGTTGTGTCATTTGGTTCTCATAATTATATATAGTGTTACATTGTATTCTCAAGCTTAATTTACAAAATTGTATAATCTGTCTATATTCTTCTAAGAAGCTATTATTTCAAAAAGGAGAATTTGAGTTGGCCGATTTTAGTTGCACAATGACAACTCTGAGAAGTGAAGGTTTTCCACTTGGTTACCATACATGCTGTATAGCACTTCTCTGGCATATTAGCTTGCTGTTCAGGCTTTTAAAAGATGCTTTGGTGTTTAATTAACTGGTACTTTAAGAACAAACACATTGAAAATTCTTCTTGCTGCTACACTTTAGCTTTGTATTTATATTTTAGCTTTTTGTACTATGTAGAAGAAAAATATTGAAAAGAGAAAATATTTTTTTTTTTTAAGATTTTAAGTGCAACTTGTATAATTTTACAGCAAGGCTTTAATATATGTCTTTTCATTGTGGTTAATGTGGAGAAATTAAGAACAAATCCCGTCTTTTGGAAGTCATTGGCTTCCTTTCCAAGTTAAATTAGCTATAAATTAGTTGAGCACTTGGAATTTTGGCACTTAATTTCCATTATTGTACTCTTTAAAGATGTTCAGAGTATTTTTTTTCTTTCCGTTTCAATGTAATCATCACATAGTGCTATTAGGTCTATAGCAATTTTTGTTTCCATGGGAAGGTAAACTTTACCCAGTCAAAAAGGGAAATTTTGTAGTTCTTTTCACACCATTCAGGATTCATGTTTTCTTTAATTTCAGCCTAAGGTGTCACAGTATTATCTTCCTGCCAGCACTCATTTAGGATACTTGTTAAAATCGTGTATTTCATCCAGTAATGGTCCTAATCCTATGCAGGTGATCCTTCCTCTCTGCTCAGCACTGGTGAGGCCACACCTGGAGTCCTTTGTTCAAGTTTTAGACTCCCTGGTATGAAAGAGGAGCATTGTTGGAGAGGGTCCAGTGGGAGACCATGAGGATGCTTAAGGGACTGGAGAGTTCTCATCTGAGCAAATGATGAGGCAGATGGGCTGGACAAGAGAGGGAATCTTGCAAAATACCTGGAGGGAAGATGCAAGGAAGACAGAGCCAGGCTCTTCTCAGTGATTCCCAGTGGCAGGCACAAAGGCAGGCACACACTGTAACATGGGGAGGAAGCTGCATCTGAACATCACAAAGCGTTGTTTATTGTGAGGGTGGCCAAGCACTGGCATTGGTTGCCTACAGATATTGTGGAGTTTCCCTCCTTGGAAATGACAGCTCGTTTCAAATTGCCCTACTTGAGCGGGGAGGTGGGACCAGATACCCTCCAGAGGTCCCTTCCAACCTCAGCTATTCTGAGGTAGGATGATGTTTGTTGACTAAGCCTGTCAGCTGAAAGGCAGCTTCTCCAGAATGTTACATGAGTGCTCATGGTAAACTTAAGAGCTAAATAATAATGCTGTAAATTTCAGATAGATTGTAAAATCAGAATTTTCTGGAGCTTCTGTTCTATTACTTGTTCTTTGTTGTGATACGCAGTCGTGTAATTACACAGTGCTAACTGTAAACACCCCTTTTTTAAATTGAGCTCAAAGGAAGTGTGGTGTCCACAGAGGTAAGGTACGGTTATGAAGTGACCGAAGCTGCTGGCTGTACCATTCTTGCTTGTGCAGTTTAAAAGCTCTTATTTTTAATGAGATGAGATGGCAAGGTGCTATCTTTCTAATAAGCTGTTCTCAAC